GCATCCCTGTATTTGTTCTTACAAGTGATACTATTCTGACATTCATATCTTTCATTACAACTTTTTTTCGATTTCCGACAACCACAGTTGCTGTGTGCACAAAAAGACTTTTTACAATTGCAAGATTCAGTTTTGATAATAATATTTGGCAGCCTCTGCTCAAAAAACAGAAGGTATATTTTCTCTAAATTATTGGTTTCAGCTTGGGACTTCATGGATGAGTCTTTGAAAATAAGTAACATTGTTGGAAAAAAGTTATCAATGATCTCAATAATAGAACCATTTTGATAAACAACTCTGCCAATGTGGTTGCAGTCTGAGCCGTGTAGTTTAAATTTGCTTGATTTTTTACTTTAATTTTATCATCTTTTTGTAATGTTACTTTCACCATTCGATATGCTGAATGTTCAATATATTCCCAAGAAATAATTGACTTGAATTTTAAATATTTGGCATCATTATATGTATTTGTGTCATTATCAACTTGAATTTCCAATTTGCATTTTGTCAAAGAATTTGGTATTTGATGAATAAGTGAATTATTATACCTTGAGAGTTGAGAAAATTGAATTTTAAGTTTATCATATTTTAAAGAGTACAACATATCTTCAAAAATAGGTTTAAAAAGTAAACTATGCTTCATATTAAAACATGGCAATTTAATATCTTCTAGTGTGATATTTTCTATATTTTTATCAAAATTTTCTAGGTCAATATCTGAATGATCATTTTCTTTATCAATATCATTTATTTCCAATATAGATTCAATTTCAAAAAAAGTGATCACTCACAGGAGGATAATAAAGAGCTTTCTTTTATAAAATGATCTTCTATTTCATTACCATGAATGAAAAGCCTAAAAATGATAAAAACCAGAATGAAATAAATGATATGATAATTATGTAATGTAGGTAAAATAGATAATAAGTAACCAACTTAACTTAGAAAATTAATTTTGTTCTTATCAATTAGGTTATCATTGTTGGTGCTAGTAACCAAGTGCCTTCCATCTGAATTGTTACGGATGCGACAGAAAACGGCCCCAAAAGCATGGTTTTACCCTAACCCTAAACCATCCCTTGTGTATCCTTAACCATTTCCATTTCCCCTAACCCTTAGATGGGACCCTCCTAACTAGAAATCAATAGATGCCTTTTTCCTCCTAACCATTTCTCAACCCAAAAAGTTGCCTTCAAATATCCTACTTGGGGCCGTTTTCTGTTGATCCCATTGTTACCATGTCTTTGTAAAGATTTGAATGTTGTTTGTTAGTAAAGAAATAAATGAATCAGATAAGTTTTGAATTGCCACTGAGAGGGTAAAGATTGGATGAGGAGAGTAAAGGAACTTTGCTGACACATTTTAAATTCGATTTGAATTATTGAATTGTTTGAACTGTATTGTTTTCAATTCTTTTTTGAACAGACTTATTAATGATTTGCCGTTTACAAGCAAAACAATTGAAGAAATTGAAAAATGTTTTTCTTAAACAAGGAATTACATAAACATATATCAAAGTATTGCCAAAACTATTTAAAGATGCTATCCAAAGAAATATAAAACTACAAATAAAAGTTATGTTAGTTTGGAATGTTTTACTAAACATTCTACCAAAAAAGCAAATATTAAATGGCATCCATAATAAGTAAAATGTTGAAAATGTTAAAATTAATAATTTTATTACTCTTAAATTCCTTTTTGAAATATTTCCATTCTTTTTCAAATTTACGGTAATTTTTATATTTTGCTTTCTTAGAATTGAAATAATTTTAAAAGATGATAAAAAAATTGTTACAGATGATAAAATTGGTCCGGTAACCATGTAGAATAGTGATTGAAAATTTGGTTCAATTGGTGGAGAACATACAATTTCATTGTCAAGAAAAATGTAGAGATTAAATTTTAAAAATGAGATAAAAGGTAAACAACTCTGGCAACATAAGATTAACCAAAAAAGAAGAATAAGTAATTTCATTCTTTTATAAGTGATAACCTTCTTATACCTACAAAAATAAAATAGTATGGTTATGGTTTCATAGTTATAATTACGTTAATTACTCACCTTTCTGGACAAGTTACAGCAAAGTAACGATCAACTGATATTAAGGCTATTGTCCATAAAGACGTCATAGCACTTGTAGCTACAAGTACACCTGCAATTTGACAATAAACATATCCAAATGGAAATTCTCCATAAATTGAACTAATCAATGATGTTGGAATTGTTACAATATTAGTTAAAAAATCAGCTACAGATATATTTATTATTAGAATTTTTGATATTTTTGGAACCTTTCGGACTTTGGGAAGAGAAATTATAGCTGAAATTGTTGAAAAAAATGTCATAATCACTGGAATTCCAATTATAAATGATCTTAAAGGATTTGAGATAGGATGACGAAATGAAAAATTG